GTTCCAATGGCGGCTGAGATAGCGCTTAATCGCAACTTTTCAGTGTGGCCATGGCGAACAATCACAGGCGACAGGGTTCTGGTTTATTGTCCAATATTCATTCCGTGTTGGTTTATGGGGTTCTCGTGGAATGCAAGTCGTTCTGGTGGATTGACTGTCGGATCAGACGCCAAGGTGTCCGAGGCTTTCACAGAAAGCTGAATACTCTGGCATTCAATTATCAATTGCAGGTCGCAGAACTGGACTGAACGCGGCGGTCACACTCCCTGTGGTCACCGCAATTGGCGGATAAAACTGTGCGCAGGTAGCCCGCGCGCTTCCCCATGCTGGCGAATTTGTGTTCTTAAATCTTGGTCCGATAATGCGAAACTGGCTGGATGTTTTGTGGCACGCAAGCTCACCTCTGGCCCCTTTCGTCACGATGGGACTGGGAGGGGGAAGGGGTCAACGATGCTCAAATCTGCACCGTAATCCAGTTCCCGCGTGTTTCACCACCACCACCACCACCACCACCACCACCACCACCACCACCACCACCACCACCACCACCACCACCACCACCACCACCTGTGGGGGTGGTGCTGCCCTTAAAGTTCGACAAACGAATTATTAGTCACCTTCTACTACCTGAGTGGCAAACCCTAGACGCACCTGCATTCTTTGACTGAACAAAAGGCCGACTGGCGTCCGGTTCATCTTGGTTTCGGGACCAGTACGTGTGGCACGTATAAACCAGGCCACTGCACCCAAAGTGGATGTGGAAAGAGCAGGAAATATATCAAAAAGTGGAGACGGTGCAGACGGTATTTGCATTCTTACGTTTTAAATAGCGAATTCGAATAACCATCTTTAAACACTGACAGAAATTACGGGAAGACAGGGCCTTCCTGTCAGCATAGCTGCGGGTCGCCTGGCACGTCTACGGATGGCGGGTTGTAGGACGGCCCCTAGCGGATCCGCCAAATCGGCAATAGTACCAAGATTTTCAGGCGTGGGTGGGTATTCGTGTGGTTACAACCTCAGACCGCTGTGCCCGCGGGGTAAATGGGGCCGTCCACCCTTGAGTCCAAGTATTACAAGACAACACTCCTCTACCAAGTTGCCAAGACAGTCACTAGGAGCGGGCCATGGATCAGCCGGGTATTTGGACGACTGGAGGGCTATGGTTAGCGCTCTTTGGTTTAAATTTTAGAGGGTCATTGGCACCAAAAAGAACATTTTCCTGTCCGACAACATCAGACGGGAATCCTGTTCACACCTCCTAATGTAAGCCGATCAGGTTGCACACATCTTGCCTGAAACAAATCACCAGCACCGACAGTGGTATGACACGCCGCTTTTGCTGTGATCTGTGCCACCCTGTTCTCACTGGCCTTGACTATAACTGATTGTCCGGACGGTTCCATACCATAGCCATAGACAGCAAAACATGTCGCGCAGACGGGACACCTTTCATCTTGATGTAGCGGTGTATTGGGCTTCCCTGCCTCCTATTCCGCAATTAAGACAGGTCGGTGATTGCTACTGCCCATTGGAGTTGCTCCGCGACCAGGGCCGGCTGTGTTTACTTGTGGCATGTTAGCTCGCTGTTCGTCTCAAAGTGACTGAATCGGGTTCGTCTTGAGTCCTTCGCCTTGTGGGCTGGGTCGTCGCTAACAATAATCAAAAAATGAGTCAAAAATCGACTCCGCCCACCTCAGTTCTCTCCTGTCATTTCTGCCCTCCAACGAATTTTAGCTTCCTCGGCGACGGTCCTCAACATCCGCAATGCCCGAAAGCACTTCGAGAAATTGGAGAAACTGGAGCAACCTCACTCGGCTATCTCGGGCCACTAATTTTTCCTTCCGCGAAACCCTTTACCTGTCGGAGCAATGGTCGCCCGCCCACTGTGATTGTTTACTACTTTGCCCCTTGTCCAGTCCTGCCTCTGTGGCCGTGTCAATCATGCACCCCCAATTTCCACCTTTGTTTTGTTTACTTCGATGCCTCGCACCAGCGCCAACAATTCCCAACTAAATAAAATCCCTCAATGTGGCTCCGAGGAGAACAGAATCACCCCATTCATTTCTGCAATCAGGATAGATCGATGCAGGCCACACCCTCTGTATCAAACCCCCTCCCCCAGCGGTCACAGTGGTGCATCCTACATGGCTGTCCTAGTGGAGAACCGAGTGGGTTTCGGCGTGCCAGACTGAGCCGGCTATTGGTCGGATGAAGGTACAGCGGACGCCGCAAGTCATGAAGCACTGACTGGCGCCTTTATATATGCCTTCTAAATAAAGACAATTGCCTAAGTGATTGTGCATTGCTGTTAATTTGCGTGCAATATGGCCTTAAGCCATTTACCAAACGCGGCCTATCGTTGCGAATTTAGGTTGGGGATCCGACTCAACCCGGCGGCGTGAGTTTTCCCTCCGTTAGGATTCCCTCCCCATTTCTAACAGTCTGCACTGAGAAGGTGGTTACCATGTGCACGTTCTCTAGGTGCACTTCACGTTTCCTTTATTCCTTTTACGAATACGTCTTGACAATTAAAAATGGCATCGGTCTGCATCACGTAGCATACTGCGTAGGCCGCTGATGGATGGTAGGGGGCGCTCACCGATTGTTCATACGGAACTCACTCGTTCCGTTGTGCCTTACGGGCTCTCTCTCTCGAGCCCAACCAGCAGCCGCACAGCGGCGCATGATATAGGCAGAATGGCATTACCGACAAAGTTAAGGAAGACTGGCAGCAACATGCTCATATCATGCGCCGCTGTGCGACTGCTGGTTGGGCTCAAGAGAGAGCCCGTAGGGCACAACGGAACGAGTGAGTTCCGTATGAACGATCGGTAAGCGCCCCCCTACCATTGTATACTGACGATCGAAGCCGACAGGACAACGGGCTCGTGGCCCAGTGGTTGGAGGCGTTGGACTTCTAACTAACGGGTCGCGAGTTCGAGCCTCGGGTGTTCCACACTTCGGGGTTGGGTATGACTTATTGACGACGGCTAGTAAGCCAGAAATAGTCAATCCAGTTTCCTTTGTCTCTGTCGGCAATAACATACTGCCACTGGTGGATATTAAACGGGCCATGTGGGAGATGTGCCGGACTAACATGGAGGTTAGATTAGTGCATAACGCTCGTTAACCGGGATGCGCACCCTCAGAAAATGATACACGATGAGGGTGTCGTGCCCACGCAGGTGTTCACGCCGCGCCAGCCACTTGCACCAGATGGTGGACCGGCTCAGTGAGAGCCTAGGAGAGGGAAGTCCATTCCGGGGACTAAGTTCCCACGGCACTCAGTGAATATTCCTCATTATAAACAATCTGGCGAGCTCTCCAATTATTACGAAGGGCTAGAAGTGGCTTGCGGGAGGGGGGGGGCGGGCTATCAACTGGCATGATAACTGGGTCCCCTCGGGACGGAGAGCTAGGCGCCCCCCCCCCGTTTCTGTGGGAACCTGGTCCAACGAGCGCGCACCATGCGCGGATGGGTTGTCTAGGTTTGTCAGCCACTGCTCCCGATC